TGAGCCCTGAACATCCATCCAGTCGATACATACATGTATACATACCCCCAGGCATGCATACGTGAACTCAGACTTTCGTCTTTCTTCCTTTTGAGGCTGATAAATGTGTAACACCACCATGCAGGAAGGAAACATCATAGAGTACATTATGCTTGCCTCATAGGTGTTGTCGACTGTGCCTTTAAATGAAAACACTCCTGGCTGATGGTATGGAAACGAAGATCATCAGCCATCAACTTTATGAAAAGAAGGGCGGCAGAAATGGCCCTATCGTGAAAGTGTATGGAAGACCGACATTCTATCGATTACAAGCCTACCCTTCTATACAACAATACTGATGCAGCTTAGTCGTTATTAAACAGCCTTAGTCGTTTTTAAATGTAAATTTATAATTCCACCCATAGCGCCAACACATCACCCATTTTACTCCTAAAAATGTAAAAGTGTTTAACTGAAATGCCAAATAAAATTTAAGAAACTTTTTGTCGCAAGTTGTTTCAATCCGTATGTGCTGCGGACTGACGATCCGTTCGTAAAACGATAAATCCGCCTAGCAGCGCTTACCAAAGTGCGCACCATCATTTCGTCCCCGTTCTTGACGGCAAGATGCAACGCCGAAAGCTTCTCTTCGTCCTGAGTAACAGCTCTCACGTCGATCTGCAGAGAAAGTAGCAAAAGAATCGTCTCCATATCGCCGGTAGCGGCGGCGTTGTGCAGCGGATTATAACCTTTGTTGTCGACCTGAAAAATGTCACCGTTGCATACGGTACCTAAAGCAATTGCAACTGGTACCTGCAAAAATATATGTTTGTCTTTCTTGACAATAATTTCAGCGATCTTATTGTTCCTGTGCTTCAGGGCGAAGTGCATCGGCGTCAGGCCGCGGCTGGTACGGATGTACAAATTGACGTTAGGAGCGTCTAGCAAAAGTCGACAAATTTCCAAGTGTTGATTTTCGACGGCAATATGCAATGGGGTTCTCCCCATTTTGTCCTAAACAAGCATAGCAATGATAGTAGTTACATTTACACAATGTCTGCGTCATGTCTGCCAGAACACTTTCCTTCATCAACTCTGAGAAGCAAACAAATTGTTTACTTGGAACATCGTTTGTCATGTCAAACTTTTTTTTGACATCCCTACCAAAATGTCATTTTTCTTCAGAAATCTAAGCATATTGCTTAGAAATACAAAGTGCAATCCTTTTAAAACACTGCTAATTTTTTACTGGTCTCCGGAATTTTGGATAATTCAGGTCCTCTTTTATGTTTTATCTTACTGTCGTACATGTGAGTAGTTCTAGAAGCGTTAGCAGGCGTTAAGAATGCTGCTAAACGAAGAGAACTGGAATCCGGCTTTCTAATCATGGGGTGTAGTGGAACATGACAAATATGTCGGCTCTGAAGTCCGGAGGTGCCCGGATCAAATCCGCTCAATAATATATCTTTGTATTAACTTCAAATTCCTAGAACAAGGAATTAACCCTAAATTACATCGGCGAAACAGTCGAGAAATGGGCAGTGAGTCGTTGGGAACAACGGAGACAGCTTGGTATTCTGGTGTGGTCATACCACCTTGAGGTGCAGAATAATGCTGTTGGACACGAGCACCTTTTATAGCAGCAGTTCACCCTGACGCATTTGATACCTTACAAATTCGATTCAGTATCCCAATTTCTATTTCTTTCTTTCTGGTGCTGCCATATTATCTGTATGTTATGTAAACAAGTTGACAATGACACTACAGTACTAGTGGAATTTGGTACAACATCACTGGTAAGATGACTGTACTCCGATAACGAGCGAAACATACCTTGAAACTTCTGTAATATGCTCAATAAAATTTACACGCAGAGCAATCTCGAAAAAACATGAATACAATGAAAGGACCATTATGCGAGTAAAAAACCAATCGCGGTAAGACAGTCTTCAACTACCTCATTCTCCACTCTTTAAGACTTCTAATATAATTAACACAGTCTACCGAAACAAAAGACGTACCATACAGATTTCGCGCCCAGGCATTTAGAAAACTGGGAAGCATAGGATATGTAAAACGAGCAGATCAGCTGTGTGGCTTATGTTTCTTTACTCATTCATTTCATTTCATTCTAAACTATCTATTGCACAGTTACTTCCCATGCACATAGAATGTAAACTTCCCTACTTCACAGAAGGTAATGAAATAAATTGCAGTAAAATATCGCAGCTTTCAGCGTTATGATTTTACGAGGCGTAAAACATGTCTGAGTGGCACAATTGACATAAGAAAGGTCTACGGTAGTACCTGAGCGTTAACATCTGCCCCGTGTGCAAGTAGTTCTATAACCACATCGCGTAAACCCCAAGCTGCAGCCATGTGTAACGGGGTGTCCTTTTCGTCTACTTCTTCACGTCCTTCTCCTTTAGGACCAAGTTTCCTTAGCGCGTGTACATTACAGTTGCTAAAAATAAAACAGTCCTTAAATTCAGGTTCCAAAGGTAGGAAAATTAACAATAAATTTATTAAAAAAAACGAAGAGGTCATGTGAAACATTTCAAGGCAATATCTTATCAACATTTAGCATTCAGTATAGAACATTAAAAAAATAAAAAATCTATAAAGTAAGGTAAACAGGAAAACTAAATCATAGACTCAACGGAGCTTTGACTACTGACAACACAATTTGGTGGCTAGTCATTAAGGTTCGTGCAACTATAAGTAGAATCAACAGTTTTAATAAACATTTTCAATAAAATAGACATCTAAACACTACAGGGAGCTTTGAGGAATTCAGTATGATTGTAAATGCTTTAAGCAATTATTTCCTTTCAAATATTTATATAGAATTCACTGTAGTACAGTTTACTCCCCACTACTGTTTGGCTGAAAAAGGAGAACCCTTTTGGCAAGGCTACTGTAAAGTGACCCCGAGGCACACTGTGGAGCAGTGGCTTGATTATGTATATGGCTGCCGCTGTCCGCTTTGTAATTCATATAACTGAATTTGTCCCTCTGGACCGAATAATTATTATCATTTGAAGGAATAACAGGCTTTGAAAATGAACGGAAATAAAAAAACATGCATTAAAACCCATGATTTAAATGCACATTTGCCGGGCTCATGTGGCTCGGCAGAGTGCGGAGTTCAAATATCCGGGGGAAAACGTAGGTGTACAGCCGCTGCATCTCCAGAATGAGAAGGCACCGTTGCGATGGTGATGAAACAGGCACAACTTGCCCTCTGACCGGCTGAAGATCTCGGGAGCAGCCAAGAATCAATGACCCTCGCTATCTTCCGCTGAAGCTCAAAGGCTGGCACAGGTTCAGGAACGTTGGATACACTGCCTGACGCGTTGCAACCACGATCCGAAAGGACAGACAATCACGAAAACTGACTGAATGACTTAAGTGCAATAATTGTTTATACTTACAAATTGTAAACAAAAAATCTGGAGTGGCATAATACTGTTTTTACGCAATACAACTCAGAGATCTACCGGATGATAAATCACTACTGACATTTTGGTTGGCATATCGCAATATTCTGTAAGGCATGGAAGTTGATATTTTGTTTTGATTCATACGCAGCGAATACAGTATTTTCTGGCTTAAGGCAAACACTCCGGGTTGATACTACCGTTCAAATAGCTTTTTATTAATTGGCACGACGCCAATAATGAAATCAGGGCAGAGGTTGCATCATTCATAGCGACTGATATTTTCGCGGGGCTGGATAATTAATAGCTGTTTGAAAAGCCGGCATAGCCGATTTCGTTGGTCTACTCGCAGCTTCACTGCTGTACACTTAAAAAGGCCTTACTTTTGGTCCACTATGCTAATAATGAATGAAACCTGAAAACTTTTTCTATAGCATAGAGTTAATTTTAGTTTAATTTTTAATAATTTTTCATTGCGAGCATTTCAGAACTCTGAACTCTTATGAGGCCGTAGAGTTTAACGTTTGGAATTCATATGGTTACAAAAAATAACACTGAGTTATCTACCCCAGTTAGAAGGCTTGCAGACTTAATCGTCAAAACATTAACAACCAGTTATTTATGAGAAAGAAAAATTATCTTACCATACCACTGGTTAATGCGGCGTTTTCAATAAAAGAGGACAGAGAAAATCTGAAACTTTTTTTTGGACAGATGGAAAAATGATTATGACTGAATCTCTAGAAAAAAAACACGGGGACAGACAATTATAAGTATGAGAAAGAAACTGGGAAGTAGATCACTGAAACTGAAAAAACCGAAAAACAAATTGATGTATGGCGAAGTGATTACACAATACCTAAGATATCGGCTATGAACTCCGGGGAGGGTTCGAATCCGCTCAAGGAACAATCTTTGTTTGTGGCGCGAATTTCCCTAAGCAACGAATTTTCCCCACGCTTAACCTTTGGTGCCACTGGCCAAGAAACGGGTAGCAAGTCAGTGACTTGCGAAAAATAAGGACAGCTGGTATTCTGGTCATATCATGACCCAACCTTTCTAAGACCCTCCTTCAACAGAGTTCATAGTTGAAAGAAGTAAAGCAGGACAAACGTGACACGCGTTTGGGTTTCATGCTGACTTGTGACTGCCGCTAAACGTGTGCTACTGAGTCCATGACCAAGTCTGCCCGACAAACCGATCCTGAGTAGCATAATTGGTTTACAGTGACTACAGAGAAACTATCTGACGGTCAGGTAAAATAATTCGTTGACTACCTTTACTATCAGGCCATATACTGTTAAACATTAAGTCGGCATACATATGGCTGTTTCGTATCTTGGACTCTGCTGCTAAACCATTAGAACGCCAAAAATTAGTAACAGCCGCTTTAAAGAAAAACAGCACGACTGTTGTCGAAGTTGGATCAAGCGCAAAAACAACAACGTTATCAGCGTAGTCCCGGTCTACGAACGTATATTCACTTCGTGATATTCTGGCACTGCTCATAGCATCATGTAAAACCTAATCCATAAGCAAGCAGAATAAAATAGTGAGAAAAAGCGACTCTGGTTAATGCTTATGCCTGATGTTGTGCAGAGGAGGTCAGAAGAGGTGAAATTTAACGCGAACCTTGAAGTCTATGAAGCGATCAGATCGCTCAATAGAGGGTTCGATGTTGTTATACTTTCCAGCATTCTCAATATAGCCCGTTTTAAAAATTGATCAAATGTCGCTTCGATATACAACTAGACTACCTTCAAGGGTTACAAAATCCTATTATTTGCGTAGCTCAAAAAATAAATGAAGAACTACGAAGGAAGCTTTCGTATGTCAAGGGTCTTCCGAAAGTAAATTGCCTTCAAAGATCCTCAGAATTTTATAAAAGCAGAAGTTCTAAAAACACACTTTCTTATAAGAAAACAGGCAGCAGCTTCGTTGTTCTCATCAAGAGCTTTGTGCAGCAGCGTTTGATAACAGCCGTTCGGACCAGCACACCAAAAGTCTACGTCGCACTTACCGCTTTGCACCTGAAAGCACCTCCCTCAGCGGGACATCAGTCGTTACGCGTCATTTATACTCACCAACACTGTCGCCACGTCATTGTAGCCGGCCTGAATGGCGGTCCACAGAATCGAACTATCCTCGCCGTATTTGTCGCTCCTGACAGACGTCGCGGCACCGGCGCTGCATAACGCGCTAACCACAGACGTATAACCCTTGCTGACGGCGAACAGCAACGGCGACATGCCTTTGGAGTTTCTAATAATCACAACTGTAAACAAACATTTACACAAATACTTTTGACCCTACATAACATTTACGCTAGCCCCCAGTTTGATCAATCGCAGGCAGCCCTCAACGTTTGCGTTCATCAGACAACGAAGCAACACAGAATTGCCACATGAGTCCTGGACATCAATGTTAGCACCGCTGTTGATCAGCTCGCTTGCGATCTAATGTTTTCGAGTTCACACACAACTGTTAAGATGGGACACTATACTTACATCGTAACAGCCGCTGATCAATGCTAATTCTAAAGGGCTTTCTTCATGTTTGTTCAAAATATTCAAATCGATGGCATTAGTTTTTAAAGCGCCTTAAAAAGAAAGGTTCAAGTATCGAAACGGTCCTTCATACTTCAGGTTAGAGGAAATCTGGAAAAAAAACATACCCTGAACATGCAGAAGGGTGTGAACCAGTTCAATGTTCTTGGCGGCTACTGCTACGTGAAGAGGTGAATTACCGTCAGATGGATTTACGATATTCGCATCAGCGTCATTTATCATCAGCAGCTGCACGATTTCGATGTAGCCCAACTGACAAGCGGTGTGAATAGCAGTCTGGCCCTAGAAACTAAACTTTTAGCCTAGGTTTGTTAAAAGTTTTCAAAAAAGAATAAACAAGACTCAGACGTGAATACAGATTGATTTACTCTTATAAATTCCAGAGACATCAGTAACAAATGCGTACCAATTCAAAGCAAGTACTTAAGCAAATCCGAAAATGAATCTCAAGATATACCGATATATCTTAAAAGGCAAATAGCACCAAAGCTAATGAAAAAAAACGTCATGAATAATAAAGCATTTGCAGCTTATGTGTAGGTGGCACTAAACTTATCGATAACAGGATGCCAAAAAATGCCCTGCAGCACATTTAGAAAACGAAGCAAGATACTGAAGAAAAACCGCCAAAATAAAGAGATACGACTTCAACCGGAACAAACGAATGTAAGGTCAAATTCTGAATATCTCAATAAATTAAAACCAACATGCACAATGGTGCATGTTAGAAATCACTGGAAACAGTAGAAAATAACTATGGGGAGAGAAAGCATGCCAATGACTGAAGTGAATGCTAAATAAAAAGAATTCGAAATCACCACAAGCAAGAAATGCTTAACATGCAGTCAACACCAGATAAGGAAGGAAGTTCACTGACCTACAATGAGCTTAAGAAGCAAAAATTAAAATGAATTTCGACCAGAACATCACTGGCGTAAAGAAAGGGTGTAAAAAACAACAGAACGATAATGCAACACATGTAGGCAGAGAACATCGAAATGCGCAGGAAACCTTGTAAATGCTTCAGCCAACGGTGAAATGAGATAGACTGAAAAAGACAATCGATTATCATAGTTGCATTCGAATAATCACGGTAATTATTGTGATTATACAACTGCGATGAAAGTAAGAAAGATAAAGTCTGCTCATGACGATCAGATGATGACAGTTATCAGAAAGGATCAGTCAGTCAGTGTCGACAGCCGTTTATCCTTCCTAGTCACTAAAGCAACAGCTTCGGATAGTATCTCCTTCGTTCTCGAGACTGCGCTAGCACCTGAACTTCGGCTGAATAAAACTTGTCTTGAGCAAAGTCCGTCGACGAATTTGCCCAGGCTATTCTTGGCTTCCTCCGGGGTCTTTGGCCGCTCAGTTGGGCAAGTGGTAGCTGTTTCGTCCTCCTTTCTCGGAGCACTCCAAAGAGATGCGTCAGTCCAGCGATTCGTCTCGCAAAGTTTATTTCATCCGCTTGTGCCCGGGATCGAAGTTTTTCAGCCATGGCCCATTAATCACGACTATAGGTAAACATGGGGATGACGATCGATTTGAATACAGTCAGCTTAGTCCTTAGACACAGATCTGTGTATCAAAAACGTAGTCATAGCGGTTCAGGATAATTCAGCAGAGCATCACTGGTCATTCCAATTTGCCGACTGATCTCTTCCTCTCATTTTCCATCACAAGGCAGCACGATCCTACGGTACGCCAACTTCACCTGTTCCACTGACATTCTATTCATCTGATTAGCACAGCGAGCAACGGATCAAGAAAAAATTAGGTCTTTGGTTATAGACATGTTTGAACGTATGCCGGCCATGTAGTACTCGGTTGCGAACCGCTTCAAGGTTCGGCTTTGGAATATGCTAACGAAACAAAGTCGTCTGCGAAGAACAAACCTCTAGTCTCAACATCTCCTACGCTGTTCCTGACCATTCTATCCAATATTCAACATAAACAAGAGAGCGGAAAGAACGCACACTTGGCAGAGATCAGAATCAACGTCGAAAAGTATCGACTGAATGCCGATTAGTTCGACAGGGCATATGCAGTAAACAGTGACTGGATCACTCGCAGCAACAGACCATCGATCCAATGTTTGCAGGCACGCCCATAGCTTGCCGTGAGCGATCTGGTCAAAGACTTTTTCCAGATCAACAAGACATATATAAAATGAATGGGCGGACTCTTAACGATTTCTCAACAATCTGGTGTACAGTAGAAGTCAGGCGTACTTCAGCCTTACCTTAAGTCGAACTGCTCTTTTTCTACCAGTTATCAGGTACAGTTATTCTTCTGTACCTTTCCAACACCGCTGCGTAGACTTTTCTCATAGACTCGGAAATGTAATATGCATATAACTGGAGCACTGTGTGTGATCTCCCTTCTCTAATTCACTGGTGTGCTTTCCGCAATCACCCGGCAGATTGACAGATACGCATTAGTCACGCCATGCCCTGTTCGCCCAACGCTTTATATGTCACAATACAAATTTCATCGTTCCAGCAGTTGTGCCACCTTTCAACCTTTTTATTATTTCTTTCACTTCATCTATTGAAAGTTTAATATCGGTTCGCTGATTCTATTTAGGCAAGTTTCCTAGTTAAGATCAGGATTAAGAAGTTTGTCAAAGTGAAATGATCATGAAGAGAATGATGAGTTTGGAAACATTACTATTTTAAAAAGCGTCTTCATAACGGCGTTCACGTACCTCAGAACTGTGAGAAAGTTGGGGGATATAAGGACTGAATAGAACGGTCCAGGAGAAGTAGCCTCTTTCTGAGGGCTAGTTATGATTCATGTTATAAGGTGATGACGAAACTCCGCCATGGCCGGTCCCAAGCCCGGATGAGAAAGGAGGAGGGTTGGAGACCGTGGCAAGTCT